GAAGGAAGTGTACAAAAGCCAAAAACATCTCCTGGAGAGTTTGAAAAACATCCTCTTTTTTTCTTTACATGTTTGTTTTCCCACTCAAAAGTAGTTTCAGTGGAACATATCAAAATGGCTTGCTGTGAAGCCTTTCCAAACATTATTAAAATACATTTTATATATAGCCTCCATATCATAAAGTGAGAAGACTCATCTGAAACCATTTCTTCCTTGTCTTATATACTTCCATATGAACGCACACCCAGAAAGCGGAGCTATTCACGCACTAGGAAATGTAACATCAGCTCCTTCCTTGGCCCTGCGGGATATCAGATGAGCTGCTCCTTGTTGGATTCACAGAGGTTGTGGCCCTTAGCATCAGTCTATTCTAAAGGCTCCTCCTCCTCTGTGGATTTCTGGTGACCTCCAAACCCCTGCATTTCACCAGACACTTTCGGCTTCAAACATTGGACTCCACCTCACTTGCAAATTTGTGGTCTGGATCACGGTGAGGAGAACATTAGTGCAGATATTTTATTTGAGATTTTAAGATGCATGTGTCACTGGGGGGGCTGCGACCAAGACAGCTCTGTTAGTGGCTCTGAGATGCAACGCTGAAATCTTTATTCCTTTGGACTATGTCTCTTTTGGCTTAGTCAGTCAAGTTTTGTCTTTCCTTTTTTGTTGGTTTCTTTGAGTCCATTTTAAATTCAGTGCTGAAAATGAACATGGAAGCAAAGCACGTTTTTTGTAGTTATGGCTGTACTCTTGGAAGATGTGGCACCATCAGCTGGAGTCCATCCACGTGCAAGTGCAGCAACCACTTCAAACAACAGCCTTTAGCAAGAGTGCAACCACTTTCAAATTTGAAGGCAACTCAAAAATACACAGTCATCTCCAGGAAGATCAGTATTTTGCATCCTAGAGGAAATTTCCACACCCAAGAAGATCATTATTTATGAAACACTTCGAGAAAAATAAATCCAAAAGAATGTGCATTTTCAGTCACGCATCTTTTTTTCTGCATGAGCAAGTTTTTAGTACTTGAAGAAAGCTTCTTTGATATTAATTTGGTAAGCCAGAGTTCCTTGGAAATAGATAATAAAGCTTGTTCTCTGCTTTGTACTGTGTGCTTAAAGGTAATTCAGCAATATGAATCTGCTCCAGAAAACTGGACACTGGTGTCACTGGCGAATCCCCCGGAGGAAGGTTTCCAGAGCGAAGCCTCTCAGCTGTGTGTGGGTGCCTCCCTCCCAAGACCGTTTTACTGTGTGCAAACCCCCAGCTGCCCTCCTGCCTACCCCGCTGATCATAGTTCCTTCTTCACAAAGTCAGAGTTTCTCCCTCTGGCAGCTGAGCCTTCCTGGTGGGAAGGGCAAGATACTTCCGTGGTTTACCCCAACAGCAGAGTCTGACTTTCCCTGCCTTTGACAAAGCACGCATCTTCATCCACAGCCACTTCTTTGCTCTCCTGTTTGAGTCTCCCGTGAAGGACAGCTTCTACAGGTTTTTTCATGTCTTTCTCAAGACAGTCTGGGAACAACACATGCCTTGGTTACTTAGCTGTATCTCACCACAGCCTTAGACCACGTCAGCCAGCCTTTTCATTTGGATTAATTTAATTTCTTTTTCTCTCTTTTCACCTTTTTCCATCAATAGCTACATTTTAGGCAGCGGGACAGTACCAGCTGTCACTTGCCGGCAGGTGATGTCACCGTGAGGTACATCTGCTGGGCCTCTATTTTTACAGGAGGTCAGCTCCTCTGGCTGCCTGGACAGACTGCATGTGTTGTGAGGACCAATGTAAAACCTACATCTATATTTTTTACTTCCTTTTCAACAGTTATAGTTCCCAAAACTGAATGACTCCGTACCAATTCTACCTGCTCATTTTAATCTCCACATTTGCCTTTGAGCATTTTTTTCTGCCTGCAGCACATTCAAATTTAACATTTTCTACTCATGTCATTGACATGCCTCTCCCTTTCCAGTTCATTAATAAAGTTGTTAAAAACCTTCAATATGATTTACTTTGTGTTGTTGCTTCCATGACTAAGGGGGACTATTAGCAGGTCTGGAATGTCTCCAGTGTGCCTGGAATATCTCTGCATCTCCGTAGTTTAAGTCCTGCCTGCAAGACAGGCTGCTTGGAAGACAGAAACAAGAAAATAACACAGTTTTAGACCACTGCATGTGGATTCACCCCTTCCCATTTCCCTCCCTTCTGAAACAGAAGTTGTTTCTTTGTGATTTTACATCCCCCCAAAACTTTAGCAATAGCCGTGAGCCTTCCCTGACCACAACACTCAAGTACTTTGAGAGCTGTGGTTCAGAAAGTCTTCATTCTTATTTCCAAAGCAGCTGAGCTATGGGAACAACACACTGTGATGATTCTTTTTATTTATTTACTTATTTATGGCCTGAATTAGTTTTTACTTTCTTTGCTGTAAAATTGGGTGTTGCTGGTATTTGCTTTAGAGTGACTGTCTCCATTCCTCACAGATGGCATTTCTCTCCAGTAGTGCTGAAAATTACTTCTCTTAGTGAAGCCGTTTCTTGTTTCTGCACTAAAATGTGTAGAAAACTCATTAATTTTTCATTGTCTACCAGTATGCAGCCAGACAAAGACCTTATAAATCAACTGGTTTGCTCTTTCTGAGTCTAATGATTAAACTTGAAAACATCAGTTAGAGGACATGCAGTCCAGGGTTTCAGTTTGCATAGAAAATTGCCTCTGATATTACACAAGATATCAAAGCAAAGAAAGTAAAAGGTGAAATATGTGTCCTCCTTTAAGATTCCACATGTCTTGCTCCCATCCCATTAGAAGCAAGGGCATCTCTTGCCTGTAGTGACCAATCTACTCCACATGGCTCTTGTTGGGTGCTTTGAGTGAAGATCTCTCCTTTGCAAGCATCACTCTCCGAAACGGAGGTAAGCTAACGACATTCCACAACAGCCAGAAAAAAATGGCTCTTTGTGGACAGCCTTCCACATCTCCTCCTGCCGAAACAGACTGAGGAAACTCTAGTTGGTGGTTTTCATCGACCAGTTACGCCCCATGACCGTTTCTGCCAGACTCAGAAGTGCCCTGTCTACCACACCAGCGACACAGGGGAGCAGGGAGAATCTCATGTGTAGTCTTTGACTGGGCCAAAAAATCACAGGGTAGTTCAGTGCACCTGGATTTTAAAAGACAAACTGCAGAGAACAGCGAAAAGCAATATTTGAGAGTCTTCCCAGTTCGTTTTTTGATTTCTTTTCCCAGACTGATACCTTCATCGCGATGTCCTGGTGAAGCCACAGGAAGAAGACAGAGAGCACTACAGAGATCAGACCCAGGACCTCAGAACTGAACTGCTGCCTCGAGGTCGGAGGATGTGTGCGTGAGTGCCTAAGCCGAGGGCGGCCTCCCATCCCTCTGAGCAGCTGTGGTTTCATTGTAGTATCATACGACCCCCTGCTGGCCTCATTTTTCTCATCAGCACTTCTTGCACTGCCAATTTTTCTGTTTTTTCCCCCCTCGGGATTCTTCACGGCACCACCCTCCGCAGGCACTCCTTTCTGAGGACAAAAGTAACTGTTTCGGGAAAGGATGGGCCCAAAAAGGGTCTCACCGGTGTTGCCCGGCATCGTCCCGCTCCCTCTGCGGTGGTGGTGGTGATCTCTGGGCAGCAACCGACCGCATCTCAGGCTAATGAGTTGTCAGAAACCCGTCCCCGTCCCTCGCCTCCTGGGCAGGTTATTATTATGAGGGCTGTCAGTGGCGGGTGAGGATGGGGCAAGCAATCCATTTCTGCAGCCAGCGGGGAGCTGCGAATCTGTTCACAGGGGATCAGCGGGGTGCTGTGGGAACCGGCCTGCCCTGCAAGCGTCCACCAAGGGCTACCATTCACGAGAGCGCTGTGGGTTCATGGCGAGCGCAGCGAGTTTGCCTCTAATGTATGCCCTAATGAGTCGGCGGAGGGTGTTCTGCCTGCCTGAATGTCTTTAGTGTGGCAAAGCGGAGTGGACATTCCCATACAATAGTGGGCTTAAATTCAGCTTCTCACCGACGCCTAATTCATGGGCGGAACGGCTTTTGTAATACCTATAGAAGAGAAGTACAGTAGGTCATTTCACCAACTAATTGGAGTTGACAATCCCATATCTATCCATATCTCAGAGCCATTTGCACGCATTTGGAAAGGGAGGCATTTTGCCTTCCCTCTTGTGGTCAGCCACTGAGAAGGGAAAAATATAAGTATGGGTTTGCGCTTTAGACAGTCACAGCTTTGCAACGAAAACTAACATATCCTGGCAATGTCTTTTTCACTTCCTGAATGGCAGGTAGAGCATTAAGTGTTACCTTTCTTGCCCGCATTCTCCACCTTTTCAGTCATGCTTCCTTTTCCCCACCCACGGTTTGGTACCTCTGCAGGGCACCCTCTTCACGGATGTCGGGCGCCCCACACAGCAGAGCCTCAATCTTGCATAAGCCTTCTAGGTGCCATCATAACATCAATAAAATCATGCGATGATGGTCAGAATAGCAAAAAACGTCCCTGCTTTGCAAACAGGAGTTTCAGAACTTGCTGAAGGCCACTTGCTGGACCAGTAGTAGGGGTAAGACCATTCCCTGACTCCACACCTATAATGACAGACTGCATCAAAGCTGTCACATGGTTTAGTCTTTTGGGGCACAGTATGAACTTCTGCTCTTATCAATGCTTTATCCACTGGCCAGTTCAGACACAGCAATTGCCTTTGAGTATATACCTAGACAGTATAAATTCTTCCATTTTAATTAGGTGCATAACACCTGAAAAAGAAAACCTCCCAAATTCTCTGTGGAAGCCAAGTAGGCACTTTGAAGTGCCATGCCATTAAAACTGGACCTTCCCCTTTTGGTACACCATTTTGTCCTCAAAAACATCAGCTGCAGAACTAAGTCCTGTCCCCGCCTATGGCAGTCTTTGGGAAAAATTAACTGTGGTATTTTTTTTTAATAAAAGCTCGGGTTTGTCCATCTGTCATGCAAAAACCTCCAGGCTTTCTCAGTGCATCACTCAACTCCATTAACAGCCTACGATTAAATCACAGAACTAAATTAATGGCTTCTTCCATTCACTAAATGTTTACTCCACATGGGATCTGACATGTAGAACATGGTAAAATTACCAGGTTGGTACTTTATGCTGGGACTGAAGGAGACTTTAACATCACTTGGATGGAGACAAATAAACTTTATGTATTGATCCTATCGAGTCAGGGGCAAGTTGGCTGTTCTTGATTTGACATGGAAGTTTTCTAAGACACTCTAGAGCTAGGAAGCAGTATAAAGCCACACAACAAATAGAACAAAGATGAGATAAATTGCCATGGTTTTTCTCCTAAATGTGTTCATTGCGGATATTACTTTGCTTAGAATGAAAAACTTTACTATGTTTTTGCTCTTAAAAAACAATGATGTGCTGGAAGTGTGGGAAATATGTTTTAAAAAACCCAGTAAATGGAGCACACGTCAGTAAAGACAGCTCGATTTCGTTACGGTGGTGTGATCACAAAAACATTTTCTACCATGCAACTTTTAATTAGTCTCGCAAAAAATTATTCTGCTTCACTTATACAGAGTACAGTAAATGGCTACGTAAATGCATAAGGAATGAAATAAATACGCTTTGTTCAAATGTGGTGACCTTTGGGAGACAAAGATGATAAGAGAATGAAGTTTCTTTCTGTTTCCCCTTGTATTTATCAAGTGGCAAGTCAACGTTCCCTCATGAAATACAGTAATTATGATAAAAAATAAACTGAAATGAACTTCTTCACTTCACACTTCAACAATCATCCAGCCATACAGACGCATTCATGCATGTATGGCTGTCATTTCCAATCCAGACAATTTTTGATAAGCTTTAGCTATTCTGAGGTGCTGCCAGTTTGAGTGACAACCTTGATACCTGCAACTAAATGGTTAATCTGTTCACCATTGTGAATGTAATCAGTGCTCTCAGACACAGCGGAATTCCGCATTTTTCTGATGTCTGAAATAAAATGGTTGTTAGTAAATAAAATAGAGCATATATACATATGTAGCACAGAAATATAGATTAATATATATAGTATTGTCTGCACTGTTTTGTGGTATCACATGTATAGGAAATACACATATGAATATTAAACCAAGAAAATATGGGAAGTAAACCGTATTTTAAAAAGATTTAAAATGGATTTGCCTTGTCTATAAGTAAAAAACCCCACAATAAAGCGATGATTTTCATTACTACATTTCAGATGCACGACTCAAGTCTGAGTCATGCGTGCTCTATGATTTTTTAGTATAATTTAGCATCCAGTTCCCATGTAACTCGGGGGCATTCTGCCCTTGAAAGCACAGTCATTACTTCCACCGTGCTGCTATTTAAACACACTTGGAGATGATGTGTACTTCCAAATGTGAATAAAGCAAAACCAGTGAAGGCAAAGGTTATGCAGGCAAAGGGTATTCAGTTTCCCTCATTTGCTAAAGACATTACAGCTCCAATCAGTGTGCTTAGCTTGCACCTTTTAGCCCATTATCTGAGGCTGGAGTAAACTTGGCAACATCAAAAAGGTTGTATTTTTCATTTGTATAAGCTATTATATACTCATATATTTGCTCAGCATCATAAACACTGCTCTGCAGTATTTTCCATCTATACATAATTTACTGGTGTTGGCTATTCAGGGGAAAAAAAAATTCAGCATCACACAGATGAACTTTTTATTTTCAGAATACACTCCCTGAAATTCTGTCAAGTTTAGCACTGCAAGTAATGGAAAGAAAGATTAATGGAAAGAAAACCTATTGTATGAATACTGTATTAGAGGAATGGAGATCAGTTACACATAGCCTCAAAGATGCCTCACAAAATACAGGTTCTTAAGTCTGGTAAGTGCTGCTCCCCAAACACCACAAAAAGCAGAGCCATATTATAAAGGTCATTGTCAACGTCGCCTGTGGGAAAGTTCCTCCGCAGACCTAAATTCAGTGAATTATTAAATGGTGAACAAGTATCATGGCAGTCAAGTTTCCAGCCACTCTTATCTTCTGGATGGGTAAAGTGTCTGCCAGGGTCTTCCAGTGGGAGCTGGTGTCCCAGTGCTGGGACAGAAGCACCATCACCCGCCTCCGCGACCGTGCTGTTCCTTGGACAGCCCAGTTCAGAGTGGCACAGGAATTGCCATCCACTTGACTCTATCGTGAATCATCTTATCAACTACTTAACGTAAAGTCATACTTCCATTAAAATTCTTGGCATTTCAACATGACAGGACTGCGAATTAAACTTAAACAAGACTGTTTAGCTGTGGATTTGATACCGGTTGTTAAATAAATCTTTAATTGTATCATTTAATCCTCTAGATCTCCTTTCCCAGAGATAAAAAATCATAAGAGCTTCCTCTTGAGCATGTAAAGCAAGAACCCACAAAGGTTCTGAAGAGCTGAAGTGTTTTATGTCCAATTCACAGAAGCATGTAAATCCATAAAGTGTCACAGGTATGAACTAGCCCCTTTCCCCTTCTAATTACGTATCTTTTACAATCTGTCAAAACAAGTAGCCACTTGCCTTATGTGAAGCATCACATGAAAGGAACACCAATATCAGTCCATTGCAACCTACAACTGATAAAACAACCTTAACAATAATTTTAGAAATACAACATTTGCCAGAAAATACTCCACATTGTGCATGGATATGCTAAATCTTTGTTTATTGTGTAGCAAAAAAAAAAAAAAAAGGTACAATGGTTTAATATCTAAGCTAGCATTTATTATATAAATCCATATTGAATACATCTGCTTATTCAGTGAAGTTGGCAATGCTATTATTAAGGTTTCACTGTTTTCTACTCTAAGCTCGTCTTTCTTAGTGGCTTATGGCTTTGGCAGCCATACAACTGTTTGTATAAACATTTACAGGAGGCAGATCTCTAGAAAAGCTTTCCTGGAAGCAGGAAGTATCTGCACCAAGCTGATATTTTTCAAGAAAATTTCAGCCGAGAAGGTCATTTCCAAGAATGGTGCTTGGGAAAAAAAAATAGGTTCCTTTTCCCTTACTTAAAAAAAAAATATAACATGCTGCTTCTGGAAAAAAATGGTAATGAGATTTGGAGCAAAGACTTGAGTGTTGCAATAAATGGTTTTTGTTAAGGGTACACCTTTTGTTATGCTTGTGAAAATCTGTGGAAATGAGGCCACAGTCTAATCCTCCAAATTATCGTAGTTGCACGTGCTGGTCAGAGCGAGCCGGCTCAGGCATCAGAACATGTTTGTTGGCAGAGAAGCAGGCTTTCTTCAATTGTTTTTATTACCCAAACTAGCTTAAGTATCTCTATCCTGCATTGCAGTAAACAATATGGTCAGGACTTGATCTTCACTCCCCTGGTCAGTACCTCACCTTGCAAGTGTGTTTTGTCACTGCATTCCTGGGCAGAAGAGGGGTTTCTCTATTGACCACTTCTGGGTTCTACTACAAGAACACCCTCTGCTTACCCACTCGACCCTTCCCATTACCTGTGGTGTAAATTGCCACAGAGAAGACATTGGTCTGGAGAAGCAAGGCACCAAATGGAGACAAATGCCCACACTATGCTGCTGAGGCCACCCA